GCCAAGGTTGAACATGCGATGGACTGTTTGGCAGAGATGGATGCACGTCATTCCCGTAGAATGGATTCCATGCAACATGACCTGAAAGAATTGCAAAATACCATTGCAAGCCCAAGGGTGGGAGGGCCTCCCCCTGTTGTCCCTTGACCTGGGTTTGCGAAGCTGGAACTATTGTTTGAAGCGCCCCTGACTGCGCCACGCCGTCGTGAGCAACAGCTCAAGGTGCTTGACAAGCTGAGGGCCGCAAATTGGCAGCCCGAGGATGGCAAGATTTGGATTACCACTGACAAGCCCATCCAGCAAAGACGTGTGTCAAAAGCAGTTGCTGTTCCTAACACCTTCTTGCTCACGCAGCTGGGTATTGAACGTGGCACCCTAGAGATTGCTTCGTGGGTTGCGGCGAAGGCATTTGTCGGAGACTACTCGTATCATGTGATTGGCCTCTCTGAGGACTGTGCCTTTGGAGCTAAGCCTCCCTGTGTCATGGAGGACATTCGCTGGCTTGTACGCGACCCTGGGGTTGGTGTGAATGTGTGCCTTGACTTGGATCTCACTCTGAGGGCGAGTCTGTCTCACCCGGTGAAGAGCTGAAAAGCAGAGAGAGAACTTGGTGCATGGAACCTTCAAGGCAAGACTGCCCATTGAGACCTTAGGTGATTTTTCCGTGGACTTGCACGCGCTTGCTCTCCAAGAGGTTGGTGGTGTGGACTTCCGGTCTTCTGATGCTGCTGATGTTCTCACCTCTGAGACTGGCGGGTACATTCTTCTGACTGCCCAACCACCGGGTTGTTTTCGTGCTGTCGCCTTGGCCTTGGACGCTGATTCTGTCTCGCATTGGTGCTCAGGTAGTGTTGGTCACTGTCTCCCTGCACTTGCCGCACAGTGGTCGTCCCCAGGCTTTTCCCTGGCTGCCCTCTCTTCCTTGGACGCTTGTTTGCAGCCCTTTGCCCGGAAAGGATTTCCTATTTGTGTTATGGGTGACTTCAATGTTGATTTCAACCATGAGGATAGCGGCAGAACAACTGCTGTGCTGACCCACCTCCGAGCCCGCGGCTTAGATTTCTTCTCCTATGATAATGCTCCCACTTGGCGGGATCGACGCTTCGATCGTGTGGTGTGCAATTCAGCTGTTGTGTGCTTGTGTCGGCACATAGGAGATCATGCTACTTGTCGGTGGTCGGTTGTGGAAGTGCGGCGTGACCTTCAGCATGCCTTGTCGGTTGACCACGCCCTCTTGATGCATGAGCTTCTGTTGTTTTGTCCCTTACCACCTTTTCAGCAACACAACCGTGCTCAGCGTCGCCTTGCCTTCTTGGATCGGCCTTGCAAGATGCGAGTCAGCAACCCTTCCTTGCTTCAGCAGAAAGTTTATGCATACCCGCAGACCCGCATTCGTTTCTCTCGGACTGTGCAGTGCAATGCTCTGTGCGAACTTCCCCTCTCCGGTATTGGGACTCCCCTGAGCTCCGGCACCGTTGTCGCCAACGTAGCTTCTGTGCAGACCTAGAGCTCCGCAGGCAGCTCTCCTTGGCCGTACATCGCACCAGAAGACATGAGAAACAGGAGTGGAAGCGGAACCTTCTCTTCCGTGCGGCTTGTGGTGACTGGGCAGCTCGGCGCTTACTCGCAAGGGCCATTCCTCTCTTGTGGTCACGCGGCCACTCCTTGACAAGTGTTCTCAACAAGCTGCTGTTGACCATGTGGGGGAGCATTTTGACCAGCGGTTTCAGGATCCTGGTGAGCCATTAGTTAGTTTTCAGGGTCTCCCTGATGCAGAGCCTGACTTCACTGCTGGCGAAGTCAATCTCACTGGCGCCCTCAAGCTTGGGACAAATTACAGGCATTTCCAAAGTGAGTGTCGGACTGTTATGTTGTTTGGTTTCGGTGGCTTCTGGTCTTGAGATCCTTACCCTCATGCTCAACTCGCTCTTGCGTGATCCCCACTCTGCGAACCTTGCTCTTGGTTATTGGTGGGTCATCCTTTTACCCAAAGCTGCTTGGGTGGATCAAGCCTCTGGGTTTCGTCCTATCGTTTGTGGCGAAGTGTTTGCCAAGCTTGCTGCTCGCCTGGCCACTCTGCGTGTTACCCACTTGTGGCCCGTCCCGGATTGTTGCTTTGGTTCTGTTAAGCAGAGTGGCTTGTCTGAAGCCTTGTACATTGTTAAGTAATTACGCGGCGCAGGAAAGCGAAGGACTTGAGGATACGACTTTGTTTGTCCAACTTGATCTCTCGAGGGCTTTCTATTCCTTGTTCATCAATTCTCTTTTGCGCTACATGGTGGACCACTGGCCGCCTTCCACTGCCAAGAGTTCTGCTGTGCTGGTTTCTCACGCATCACTTGCGTTTTCAACTCTTCGATTGTGTCTCGTGGTGGTGTACTCAGCAAGGCGGAAGCCACAGTCCGACTCTCTTTGGACGTGTAGTTGCCGGGCGGTTCCATGAGCTTGCTTCTTCATGGCATCAGCATGGGGAACTCCCCGCTTTTCATGCTGACAGGCTGTTGCTTTGGGCTTTGTGGTTCATTGATGATGCCATCCTTCTGTTTCGGAACCTGCTCCAGCTGTCTCGGCTGCTGCCAGAGGTCCTTACCCTGTTTGCTAGCATGGGCTTGTCTGTCAATGTGGCCAAATCATGCCTGTTTGGGCTGCGCTTGCCTCGTGTCCCCCCTACTTGTTTGAATGGCTACGCGACCTCTTCTGGGTCCACTTATCTTGGCCAACTCATTCGGCTCATTGAAGGTGATGAGCACATGGTCGCTTCCTTGTGCCGCCGTGCCATGACTGCCTTCTTTGCGAACCGGCCTCTTCTCACTCATCGTGCAGCCCCTCGTTGTCGCAAGCTTGGTCTTTTTAGTTCAATGGTCACCGCTGCTATCCGGTGGTCGTTGTGTGTTGTGTCTGTCCGACAATCCAACCTTGGTTCTCTCCGTGTGCACTTTGTTACCCTTCTTGCCTGGATGCTTGGTGCGCGGGCCCATAACTCCTGGAAATTCCTGGTTTGCAGTAGAATGCCTCCAAGCTCTTCGACATGCAGTGAAGCTGTGGGAAAAGACTTATAGTGAACCATGGGGTGTGCTATTGGCTCGGATGGTGTGGCGTTGGGTGGGGCATGTTTTTGCGCATGCCTGCTACATCTACAGGTAGATGTGCCATGCCGGATTTGCAAAGCACAGCAGTTTGTCTGGACAGGCTAGGTCGCATGCGCACTGGGCCCCACAACAGTGGCCATCGAAACGGTTTGCGATACCTGCAGCACAATGACATAGCTTTGACGACTGCTTCTGACAGAGATGCTTGGAAAAACCAAGAGAAAGCATGGCTACTTCACCACGGCATGATGGTGCCAGGTGGGGGTAGGAATGTGTTTGGACAATCTGAGGACAAGTGTTTGTGGGAGAAGAGGTGTTTGATGTGTTTGCAAGGCTCCTTCCATGGCCAACAAATGTTTCATACTGTTTCTTTGCGCGTTGACCCCGGCAGAAGTTGTCATTCTTGAGCTTGATCGGACTGAAGGCTGACGACACTGCAGTGTGTCCATTCCAACCTGTGATGTGCACGGCATTCTGACAGAGCTCGAACATACACAGTGGATCGCGGCTTATACTTTTCACATCAGGCTGCTCCTTTTTGACATGTCCACTGAGGTTTCTTGTGCGGATGGATGCTACGAACCATTCCCTTGCCCTATGCACCGTTGCCCTTTTAATAGTCGTAGAAATACCCTGTCTCCCAGCAAAGTGGATGAGGGAAATGAAACAACTTGTGCACCAGCTTGGTTGCTGACACTCCTTTTCCGCTTAGCGGAGTTGTATCTTACTCGCCTTTAGCTCTGCTGAACTCCTTGAGAAGGCGATGGAGAGAGATATAGAAGGATATAGTATGATATAGTAAATATATAGTATTAATAGAAAAGCTATAGTATATAGTAAACATAGTAATTATTAGTAGTGGGATCTTGGGGTGGTTGCGTATTGGAGATGAGTGGCCATGACATTCTTGCCGTGACAGCTGTGGGGGTTTTCCGTTGCAGGTTACACTTCCTGTAGTACGCAATACTCTGGAGTGGGGCATTGCTCCCTGTTCAAACATGCCTACAGTAACCATCACAAATCCCAGAAGTTGAGGTCATTTGGCACCCCACTTTAGGGGAGGCCATCAGCATCCATGAACAAAGGTGGCCCTGAAAGGGGATCCAAGGATCGAAATGGTTGGATAATATGCATGAATTACGGCCTTTATGACAGAAAGGCACATAAACCATTTGTGCCTCGCAGGTGTTCTTGGTGAAGTTAGCCCACAGTGGAACTGCCAGTGGTGCCCTTGACACGCTACAAATGGATGTGCGCTTCTATGTCGTCATGCTGTTCCTGCTGGCGCTGATGTTTTTCATATGCTTAGACTTCTGGGCCCTTGGTCATTTGCATGATCAAGATGGGCGTGGCTGGATTCTGGTCTTGTCGAACCTCATGGGTTTCTTCGCCCTGGCAGCAGTGTTCGTAGTATCGTTTCCAAAATGGAAACACTACTTTGAAAAACCCAAATCTGGAGTAAACACCTACCAGACTGTACCTCCTGCATGATGGAATTGAGACCGCATGTGCATGACAATGAAAAATCCTCCATGTTCCCTGCCTTGCCTGGTGTGTCCCCTTCCAGTGATACATGCAGTTGACCAAACACCTGCAACGAGGGTTACCTACCAGATCCTACAAGTGACGTGCATGGGGGTGAAATTACATCAGTTGTATATAATCAGGCACACCCACAAACCAACATCAGTTGTTCCACGCTATTGTAAACATTCGATACATGGATTAGACAATCAGTGTTCTGTTATATGACTGTTTGATGGCTGCTATATGGGCTATATGGCTGTTCTTTGCTGTGTATGCCAATTAAAGTATAGATATAGCTGATCTAGCATCATTTTCGCCGCAATTTCTATCAATTTCTCACATGTCAAAGCTCAAATTGCAGCTGAGTGCCGAACTCAACGGCAGGACACCTCAATGGCTCAGCTGCAGATGTTGCAAGAGATGTTGTCCTGCCGGCCGTCCAGGTGCACGGAAAATCTCCTATCCTAAGTGATGAAATAATCCAAATCCCACTGTCCCACAAATCCCAAATTTACCCTAGGGAAGCCCTGAATTCTATGCCATCCGCCAGATTTTTTGAGTTTTGAACATGTCCTTAAGTTCCTTGGTAACTTCATTTTGGCATATTTTGGCTCAGATGGGTCATAACTGAGCGCCCCCCGAACGGGGTATGGCTGCTGCCAGTGAGCCCATTGCGCATCTTGCGCAGCTTGCACCTGCGGATCCTGCACCAGAGGTGCCCAGCAGGGCAAGCTATGACTCGGTGCTGAGATGTTTCAGAAAACATCAAATTGAAGGTGATGACGTCATGGACCTTGGGCTTAAAGATCTTTTAAAGGTGCTTGAAATATATTGAATTTCCGGGGCGTCCAAATTGATGTTTCCTGAAGGTGGAGGATTCATTTGGATGAAGCATCTGAAACCTATGTGGATATGTTTGGAAGCAATGGTGAAGCAACATGAACGATGAGTGAGTCAGATTGAATCTACAGATGATTTGATGGCGGTAGCGACGCAATCCCATCGGTGGGTGAAGCCTTTGGTGGAAACTGTGGCAGGTGAGACCCATGCCTATGCATCCATTTAAAAATCATCTTACTTTACCATTGTGTTGATTGTGTTCGACATGTTACTTCTTCCATAGAGGTATCCACCTCTACGTCTCCTTTAGGTCATCTACCTGAGTCACATTTTTCCATCAAAAAAAGGAGAAATCATCAGAATCAGGTGGATCAACAGCCATAGTCAGTTCTAACCCCCAGTGGCCACCATATATTGCTCCAGATGAATTAGAGCCTACAGTATCCATCAGCATGTTTACAGTTTACACCAAAAAAGAGAATGACTCCCTTTCTACCCGATTGTCGGTTACAGACATAGTATATATATAGTATATATATATATAATATATAGTATATATATAATATATAATATATATATACATAGTATATATATATACATACAACTGGTAATATATGAATCATAAGGCCACCTTTACAACCCCTATTTCTAGCGGATATTTTACTATGGGTATTGGCTCAATACGGTCGGAACACGTTTTTGATTAGATATTAGACTCCACTTAACTATTGGTGGATATTGGCTTAATGGTTTTTAAATAAGAGTGATGTTGAATCCGTATTTCCTCTCATAGAATTGGATGATGGGAAAATTTTAACCGGAAAGCCCTATATTTGATGGTAAAAACCCATGGGTTTCCTGTAGATTTTCCCTTACCCTCTGGTAATTTAACATAGCTATTGAAAATGACCATTTATAGTGGAGTTTCCCATTAAAAATGGTGATTTTCCATAGTTATGTTAGTTTACCAGAGGGTAAACCAATCCAGTGATCCTTCCGGTATTTCCTAAGGATTGGAAGGTCTTCTCCGAAGTCCTACGCTCCTTGGACTCGCAGTGCACCGACGCTCAGCTGGAGCTGCTGCGACGCCGCGGGGAGGGCGAAGCCACGCTTTCGGCGCCGGGCATGCGATGCTTGGCTATCATGGGCTATGTATATATGATATACCCTGGAAGTCCAGGGACTCAAAAAGAACGTCCTCATGAAAATCCGTAGAGAGTGGATCAAAAAGGAACGTCCATGTAAAATCCTCATGATGTACTTTTTGAGGTCCCGGACCTCAAAAGGAACGTTGCTATAAACATCCTGTTGATGTACCTTTTGAGGTCCCAGACCTCAAAAGGAACGTTGCTATAAACATCCTGTTGATGTACCTTTTGAGGTCCCAGACCTCAAAAGAAACGTGGCTATAACATGCTACATAATATGCTATAATCGTGTCCAAAATGAGGACAAATCTAGAATCGTGAGAAATCGTGAGTTTTCGTGAGTAGGCCCTCTAAAAGGACCAAAAAGGAACGGTTAAGGCCCTAAAAGGTACAATATAGCGATCTAAAATCGTGAGAAAATCGTGAGAAATCGTGAGTGCATGCATCACATTTTGATTTTAAACACATGGGGGTCATGGAAGCCAAACATCCATTGCTATAAACCCTCGGCCGTAGAAACCATGACATTGCTACAAACCCTCGGCCGTAGAATCCAACAACATTGCTGTAAACCCTCGGCCGTAGAACCTCGGCATTGCTATGGTTTCTCGGCGATGATCCCTTTTTGTGGCACTTTTCCTAAGGACTCAAAAAGTACGGCCTTGGGACTTTTAGGGATATATATATATATATTGATATATTATAATATTATATTGATATATTATAATAATAGTAATAATAATAGTAATAACAATAATAGTAATATAATATAGTAATAAAATATACTAAAATAACATATAATATAATAACAATAATATAAATATAACCATGGTAAAGCGGTTCTTGTTTACGGGTTTTGACAAATGATTTTGTTTAAACACATCGCTGCCATTACACGCGGTTTTTAAAAATCATTTGAGGACAATTGTGCCGAGCCAAACAAATCAAAACATGATGAATGTCCTCAACCTTAGCGGCTTAGCGTGAAGCCTTCCTTCGCCAGTTTCGACCTCCAGCCCCAGGATTGGAGTCAGCCTTGAAGTGGATCTTCAGCGGCCCCAAGCGACCTTCGTTGAAGAAAAAGAAAACCAATGAAGAACTGGAAGCCTTGATTGAAGCCCTCCGGGTTCGAACTGCTTCTGGGGCCTTGATCTTGACCTTGGATTCTGGCAGCAACTTGAACAAAATTATTTAAGGAATCCACCATCGGAGATCACCAAAAAATTTGGGGCTGTATTCAGATTTGATATTATGATAAGATATGATAAGATATGATAAGTGTTTGAAAACCGGCAGGTATGGATCGCAGTGTCATGCAATTGAGAGCAGAAGTCGGAGCTCTTTTGGGCCGCTGCGTGGATGAAGTGAAACTTATCGCCTTTCAGAGACAGCTGGAGGTCGTCGAGTCGTCGATTCGTCATCCGTTTTTCTGGGTTGTTTCAATACACAGCTGCTAGATTTACAATGATTTAGAGATTGAACTGGGGATATTGGGCATCATGATCATGGATTCCTGAGCTTTCAAAAGCTGCAGATCTTGGTTTCTGCATGTTCTGCACGTTGTTAACCCAGTCACGGCTCTTCCTCTCCGGTCACATGCTCTAAACGACGCCGGCGGAGGATGGAGAGACGTGCCAAAGCCTGGTGGCTTCGGAGGTTGACTGCTTGGAAGTCACAGCCATCACCCAGGAGATTCCGCAACTGGATAACTCCATCCCCGTCTTGGAGCAGCTTGATGCCACTTGGACCGGAAGCCGGATGGGTTTGGGATGCGGCGGGACCATGAGTATCCAAGATCATGATTGTACTGTTTGGCTAGGCAGAAAAATGTCTGTTAGGGTGTGCTGAGACGTCCTAGTGGCATTCTTTGGTTTGGTTATTTTGCCTATTTTTCCCGATTGATGTCACATGTTTGATGGTTTCGTGTTTGTACCCTTGGTTTGGATCTTCCCCTTCCGATTCATTGCATTTCTCAAATTGCCACCAGCTCCAGTCAACCGTGGCACCACAGGTCTTAAAGCAGATGATCATGACACTTGGAAGTTACAAGAAGTGTTTGGTTCATCTTGGTTCACTCCATGTTGTTGCTGTTGTTGCCTGATTATTTGATTATTTTGCTGGCGATTCATTGTCGATGTTTGCAGCTCATGTGTGTTGACCATGTTCAGGTCCTCCTCATTGGAGTATCAAATTGATTCTGCAATACATTTGCGGAAAATCCTCAGCCCCTTGGAGCGTGGAATGGGTTTGTCTGAGCATATAGAGGAACCACTCAAAAAATCCATTGGTTTAGAACTTAGAAGCTCCCAATGAATATGACATTTTTTCGGCGTACTTCATATATTCAGACACATATGCCGAGGAGACCATTCCATGAGGATCCTCTGAACAATTGGATGTATTCGACCCCAATTTACGGCAAAATTCAAAAAGGAATGTGATGATAAGCCAATTGGGCATTGGGGTAATTATATAACATTATATAACCTACCTTCAGACAAACCTATTAAAACATTGGCCGGTTTTCAATTGTAATTCATTTTGTTTCAATCTATTTCCGCCCTAAATGATCGTCCGCTCATAGTTTGGGGATGGGTTGAGACACCAATCAGACATGCCAGCGCAGCTGGATTTCTTGTCGGATCGACTCTGAATTGGTGTTGACTGGTCAAGGACACACCACAGGAAGAAGTCAGCTCCATTGTCGCCTCAGGCTTTGTCCCATTGATTTAGTCATTTGATATCATTTGATCATGAAATTATATATATATGAAATGGATGAACTATGAAGAACTTAATTCCAACATCACCTCAGCTCAGGCTTTGCCTCATGCCCTCAGGTGTCGAAGCCAATCCTCCCATCCAACGAGTGTTGGAACTTGGTGTGGCCCCACGGCTCTTGGAGCTGAGCCAGCAGATGAGCACACCACAGTTGCAGTTCGAAACCTTGAGCTTTGGCGAATGTTTCGGGATTCCTGTGGTATTCCTGCAGTTCAGAGAGGGTCAGAGTTAGGCATCTAGTACGGATATCGCGGGAAAACTATCTTGATAATCTTGATATGATATGATAGCTGGCTGTGCTTGAAGAGTTTGAAAATGGGTTATACCTCCCAATTGCGGGCATTAGGAAAAATTATGGTTAGCCAGTGGGTGTGGAATGGGACACTCAGATAGGTACCTGGGCACCTTATTTTCAGATAAACCCACACTGTTCGTTTTGATCATGAGACAGACTTGGATAGATCTGGTCCGATTATGATTTTGGCGGATGGTGGGATTGATGCAGCTTCAGCAGGGCTCAGTTATGTCAGGGATGCTACACCTGAGGTGGGCGATTCTGAACATCGTGTCAGGCAATGCCCATCAGACACAAGCCATTGTGGATCTTGATGCGGTGCCCATTCTTTTGAAGATCCTCAAAGAGAGCGCTTCTGAGGATGTTCAAGACCAAGCAGCTCGCTGCAGATGGGTTCAGATGCTAGATTGGGGGGGGGAACCGATCCAGCTTGTAAACGATATGCTTCCGAGATTCTTCCAATACACCTCCGCCTCCGCCTCGTCCCCTCAAGCATCCTTGCCCATAGCAATCTATGGCCCTATTCCTGAGCATTTTTTCCATTCAAGGCCCATTGATCCATTGATATCATATCCATTGATGATCTTTACTGGTGCCCGGATGTGTCCAGTGTTTATATGTTTTAGTGCCATCAAGCCGAGGCAGTTTGGGCAATTGGCAACATTGCCGGGGATTCGGTGCCACACCGGGACCTGTGCATTGCAAACCAGGGGATGCCTGCGGTTCTTCAGGTGCTGGTCTGGAAAAATGGGCTGCATCAGCTGTCATTTTTAACCACAGAGGTTGTTCAAGATTAGACATTGAAAGTTTGAAAGCTACATATTAGTAATTATCTAAGTATCTAAGTATCTAAGTATCTAATTGTCATTACTATTGTCCACCATCAGCATCAGCATCAGCATCAGCATCAGCATCATCATCATCATCATCATCATCATCATCATCATCATCATCATCATCATCACTATCATCACTATCATCACTATCATCACTATCATCATCATCATCCTCCTTCTCCTCCTCCTTCTCCTCCTCCTCCCAAGCCTCAGAATCTGCACCCTTTCTGGCCAACTCTATTTTCATGGCTGTCACTAAGCTGCTACGCCATGCGTCACGCCATGCGTCACGCCAGGTGCTTGAGACTTGCAAGAAGGTGAGCGGCCTCAGAAATGCCATGTGGACTGTCTCGAATTTCTTCCGCGGGGCACCGAAACCCAACTTGGACGACCTCAGGTCAGGGCCGGGACGGATCGCCAGGGCACCATGACTGAGACCTGTGTATATTTGAGCACGGTCAAAATATGTCAAAATCATAGAAGATTCTATATGACTCACTGATGATGATGATGATGATGATGGCGGCACTTCTGAGCGCTGACCACGTAATTAGTGAGGACTTGACATCATCGCAAGATGACCTGCAACTTGGTCCCTCTCGTCACTTTCCAGGCCAGCGTTACCTCCGCTGACGCGCCACTTGCGTGAAAGCACTGATGTCGAGGTTTTGACGGAAGCTCGTTGATTGCTCAGGTTGTCAATGGTTGATTGGTGAATGATGACGTCTTGTTGACAGGGCTTGACGCTCATGACAGCAATCACGGCAGTTGATAGGATGATATAGGATTATTATGGAATGATGGGTCCCACCCAGGAAACAAAATTCAATCCGCAGAAGACGACATTCGTGAGCCATTGGGGGGCACATGTGATTCAGGTCTTATGAAGTCTCAGTATGCAGAATTGTCCCATGTTTGTGCTGCATTGCTGCGCTGTTACGCTTATTGCACCTTATTGGTCTCTTTCAGCAACTGAGGATGCTCTTTGGTCGCTCTCTTACATTTCTGATGGGCGACTCGAGGGCAAGAAAATGGCCAAGTGCATCCAAGTGCTTGTTTTGGTCCCCTCTCCCTGCCTCTATTCCTCTCTGTATATCTCTTTGTATCTCTTTGTGTATCTCTGTGTGTATCTCTCCGTATATCTCTGTATATCTCTCCATCTCTATTTGTCTCTCTCTCTCTTTCTCTCTTTCTCTCTAGCTCCGCTTTGTGCATTCGCTCTTGCACCAATGCATCACTGGATCTATATATTCATGGATCTCGTGGCCGATTTGAATTTTACAAGATTTACAAGCCTCTACCTGCACAGGAGTGGACGTTTTAAAGTGTCAGTCTTTGACCACATATCATATCATCTAATCAATCATCTATTTTATACGGTATTAATTAGTATCCGTATGTGTATGTATGTATGTATGTATTTTCTTCATTTTGACTATTTTGACTCGGACATGGTGCCTTGAATGGAACAGTCGTCCTGTCGTCCAGCTCCGCTCCAGGCCCAACCACTACATCCAGGCCGTGATCGATGCAGAGGTGGTGCCCCGTGTGGTGCAACTCTTACGCCATGAGAGCGCCGGGGTGCATACGCCCGCGCTGCGCACCGTGGGAAATCTGGTCACTGGAGATGATTTGCAGACAGATATGGTGTTAAACAATGATCCTTTTGGGGCCGTGATGCAACTTGGAGAAGGGAACCTTCTGGGGATGGGGATGTGTGGCTCAAAATTAGTTGTTGTGACATGTTGTGACATGTTTGAATGCCTGAGGCTCTTTATATATGTTATATATGTGCATATATATATACACATACCTCTACAATTATACAATACAATACATGTGAATACATGTGACCTTTTTTTGGCATTTCTGGGTCATGAAAAGAATGCAAAACCCTTCTGTTTTGATATAGTTAAGGTAAGTCCATTCAATTGTGCGTCCAAGCAACTCAATGGTAGGCGCGTGAAGTGGAATGGATTTTGGACTTCCTTTGATGGCATGTGACCTGCAGTATAGGGATGTGTGGGGGGGATATTTCGAGTTCAGTAATCATGTGCATTTTTTCCCCAAAAAAAATTGAACGGATCATGTCTTGGGCATTCCAAATTCAGATTCAAATTGTCGAGGCAGTTGATGGCAAGCCCAAAGATGAAGATCCGGAAGGAGTGCTGCTGGTTGCTGTCCAACATTTGTGCCGGGCCCTTATATCAAGTGCAGCAGATCAGAGATCATGGATTCTTTGACCAGTCTCTTGGCTAGGATTATGTTGCATGTTCATCAAATAATCTACAATTCGGTTTCTATTCGTGTTTCATCCAACAAATGGCAACCAACAAGAGATGACTCCTCATAATTTGACTGAACTTGACTAATTTTTCTTTGCGTTCTTTCCACATGTTTCCACATTTTTCCGGGTTTTCCCAGATTTTCCACAAAGGTTCTCCCAAATTGTCCATTTGTTTCCAGGTGTTTCCGAATCCCCCAGCTTTCCTCACCCCCCGAATGCCCCCAAAAAACGCCAGGTTCTCCATCATGGCGCGCGACGCGGAGCTCAGCGTGCGGAAGGAGGCCGCCTTCGCCATCGCCAATGCGAGCGAAAAGACGGAGGTCATCAACGACTTGATGTCACCTGAGATGGAAAATCCATGGGAAACATCCAGAGTTTGGGGAATCTACCCTCTGGTATATAATTTAACATAGCTATTGAAAATGGCCATTTATAGTGAGTTTTCCCATGAAACATGGTGATGTATGGTGATTTTCCATAGTTATGTTAAATTACCAGAGGGTATAGGATGAATGGTATGACTAGATGAATTGTATGAATGATGGTTAAAAAGAGAGGAAAATCCACCAAATCCACCAAACCAATGGAGGTTTCCGAAAAATGGTTCTTAACATGATTTGACCAAGTATCTTGGATTTTTTGGGAGTCGATGATTTGATTTTATAACCACCAAAGATGATGGAGATATAAGTGGATAAGACTTATGATACTTATGATGGTTGATGATGGAATCCATAGGGGAGATGTTTATTTTTGTTGGGTTCCTCAAGCAGATCCAAGCTGGGCTGTGGATCTTTTTTTGTGCCACAAATAGGTAAAAAAATGTCACCTGGATGTGGAAAAGATGGTGTTTCCCCAATAATGTTTAGCTTCTTGATCCTTTCTTGGGTAAATATATCAGACATATATCAGACATTTATCAGTTTAGACTAGTAGATATTTTATAGTTGTTTTTTTAATTGTTGGATATAGCTGATGCTGTCGCTACTGTAACTTTAGTTGGTATATTATGGCGGTTTGCTTTTTACATATTTCACTTGGAAATGGTTTCTTCCCCCCAGTCTTTTTCCCGAAAAACAGCAAATGTTCATCAATTTCCAGTGGAACTTTTATCTGAACCAATCCCAAAAAAATTAAGACAGGTCTGTGAATGTACTGCAGGGTGTTCACATACTGTAAACCAATTCAATTGGAATTATGGTTGGTTATAAGATGTTATAAGTAGAGTTGGTATAGTTGGTATAGTTGGTATAGTTGGTAGGGCTTTAGTCAAAAAATCTCCCAGAGATTGGGAAGTTTCTAAATCCCATCCAAGCTGTAACCACAGACCCGGAGCATCTTATAGTGTCTTCCAGAAAAATATTCAGAAAGGGTAAGAAAAGTTGCCTATCCCATAGGAATAGTGGTATACAAATGTTGATGATTATATATTCCCAGTATAGGGATAGTAGATCAACACTATATTATACATATGCATGATATTTATAGAATATATTTTTCATGCCTGAACCAAAATTCATGATATATATAGATAGATTAAACTTTAAAATGTGCATCGTTTTTGGGGTTACCAACTAGTTCAACCACTAACTAACCAGGTTTTTCATCCACACCCTTGGCTAAGTTCGGTTTGAGTCAAATTTAACCATCTTTGACCTCACTCCTTTATCCACCTTATCCACCTTCAAATTGAAATATTGCAACATTTAAATATATTTAAATCTCTATAACTTATAACTTAGAACGAAAACAACTGCTTCGGGTGTGGATTTAGATGATTTAGCGATGAGTCGATCCAACAGAAATGGAGGTTTGATGTGATTTAACCACAAAGAAAACATAACATATGTGGATGTCAACGGTTCAACTGGTCGGTTGGTGTTTCTATTGTTGCTTGAATATATGTTACCAATCATAGATGATTGGGATATTGGGCTTAATTAACCTGGAGGTAACAACAGGCTGGTGACTGGTGGCATTTGTTTTTTGGAAAAAAATTGCACGTGGCAGCCCGAAACTCGTTGGACTCCTTTCGCTTCAACCGTGTGAATCCGTGTGATATCTGAGGAAAGCAGGTTGTATGACGGCCATGCACGAACTTATGGACAGCAACCTGTCCACACTTGGTTTTTCATGTGAGTCTGGCTGTGATCGTGACAGATAATGAAATAATATGAAATAAAACAATAGGGTACTGCAACCGGAATGATCCCAAGAATCTTTGGGTACTCGCCGCACTTCTTGGATTTGACAAAAAGGGTGACCATTGGGCATTGCTTCCTGACCATCGGCCTGGCCATCTGAGGTCATGACCATAAGATGCAGGACCTCTGCCTTACCTTTATTTCCAATTTGCGCAAGGGCTTGGACGAAATGCCGCCCTCGCAGCTGGACGACGTGGGTTGTGGTTGGGCTAAAGTGTGAAATGACTTTCACAGTTGTCCAGGAATTTGGAGTAATGAAAAAGATCAAAGTTTCTGTCAGTTTCCCTTTGCGGAAACAATTTTGGACATATATTATGCAATACAATATATTACATGACACACACACACACATATATATATATAATAGTAGTAACAATTAGCAACACCAGGGAAAATGGTGGCAAATCACATTCTCGAGGGAGTTGGACTTGAGGGTGGTCCGCCAACAAAGTTTGGATGGGCTTTCATGTGGCCACTTCACAGAAGACCCTGCAACAGCACATTAATTAATGCATCAATATTCATCATCAACAATGGTTTCTGGTCGTCAAACTGTAATTCCCCTTTAAATGTATATTATGTTTATGGACAATTATATATCTTTCATAAATGGATGTGTTTTTTTTTCATGTTTCAGGGTTGATTGCCGGAGGGTAACCCGGGTAACTCCTCCATTTTTGTTGCGGTTTTTGGAGGCAGAAAAGACACATCAACAAAAATACGGGAAACATTCGGAAACATACGGGAATTTTCATGAAATGTCAACCCCCCCAAAAAAAAACAAGAACTTAAAAGATGACAGTATCAGCATAAAGATGCGTAACTCACCTCATTCCATCCTTCCATTCCTTCAACATGTCCCGGTTCCTGAGGTACCGGAGCCAGTTTCTGGAGACGGTCCGCCAGGAGGACCTGCAGGACATCTTGGAGCGCGCGGGCACCGAGGCGGTGCGGCTCAAGGCTGCGGATCTGATCCGAGAGATGGAGGAGGGCGAGGCCTGGATGCCATGGGGCCCATGGGGCCATTGGGGCCATGGGGGGATGGGAAGATGGGGGGATAGTACAGCGAATTCTTCACCATTTTTTTGGGGGATTTGACATCTGACATGATTTTTCTATTTGGAAGTTGCTGATGATATGTTTTTTGGGGATTTGATTTTGGGGAGCTGTTACGAGACAGGGATGGTGATCATATCCCTGCTACATGGGGAGCCAGCTATGCCGATCCAGGATTCGGATTGTTTGGGGATTTGAGGATGGGGCGATCATATTATGTTGGTGAGAACATCTTCTCGTTTTTTGGTGTGAATTTGGGGATGATGTTTGGATGATTGCGATGGTATAGATGATGGTGGGGAGTAAGGATGGGGGTATGTTTTGTTTTTTTTTGTGGGTTGGGTGGTGAGGATGATGAGTGAGGCAATTGGGATAGGAATAGGGTGGGATTGGGAACAGAGCTACTGCAACTGGGGGGTTCTTGACCAGCGTATGGTTGTTGAACAAGGGGACCACCACCCCTGCTGGAAAGAATTTCATGGCTTCCTGGCTTGCTTGGGGGATGTTCCAGAGCAGTCATGGCTAGCTGGTAAATGGGCCGATGGCATATAGAAGCCTTTTTTTGATTTTTTTGTACGTTCTTTGATAACTTTTGCTTTTTCAGATCCATCCGTTGATTCGTTGATGACTGAAACCAATCGTGATCAACCTGCAGGAAGTATTCAGCCCCACAGGTGAGAACCCACTGGGCGACCACTAGCGGACAATTTGAGTATGTCCAAAAACTGTTGACGCCATTTCTCCCCTAAGAAGGATAAGTTGCCTATGCATAGTTATCAGGGAATTAGATGGAATTACCACAATTCTTTTTGGATATTCCCAGTTTTTGGATGCACTCATTTGTCATTTGGCGTGTGATTTTTCCACTATCGAGGTCCTGGTTCTAGACCGGCCAGAGATAGGCACGTATCGTCACAATCCTCCAATGATCCAATGCAGATGAGTACTGTGTGGGTTCCACTTCGGCAAGGCCGAAAGACTCTGGAAGGGCATGAATGGCAAACTCGGGATGGGTGAAAACCATTGAAAACCTATGATGTTCCAATATTTTCCATAGGCGTGGGCGGATGAACATCCGGTTACACCAGCTACTAAGCATTTTGACACCAGGGTACCAGGGGCTTTGATCGGTAGCCACCTTTGTAATCAATCTAGAAACTTTCAAAGATTTGAGTGACCGCAGTTGCCTATGCAACATGCATTTCCTGAAGTAACCTCCATCCACAGTCCCCGACATGAATCCCTCAGCCGCGTGTCGCACGGATCTTCCAAGCCATGCCACGGATTGTGCTGGCAGTGGATTGAAGCCTTGCGCCACGCAGAAATCCTCAAAGAGGATGATGCCACGACATAGCTATAGCAAATCTTGGTCGCAAGCCAGAAAAAGTCATGAAAAGTCCATACGGGCCAGCTTTTCAGAGGGGTCAAGGGCCATGGTATGCCTACATATCAATATTTCAATGAAGGCAAGTTGCGCCCGAAAAGGGGCAAGTGCCCAAAGCAGAGGGTACAGCCCACAGAAAAAGATCAAGAAAACCAAAATACATCGACTTTGCTTGGCCAGAGAAGGACAGTATCGTGAAATTTGCGAATATCGACTGTGAATAGTGGAGCCATGTGGAGCCATATTCCGGGGACATAAAAAACAGCAACCTGCAGGTTGACGGCAGCCTGGGACCTCGGTCCTGCAGTTCAAGCCGCGTTTCCGGGCTTGATCCCAGTACAACAATGTTTAATACAACAATTGACACGGCTGAAGCTCGTTTTAATTGTGGTAATTGATGCTAACTGTATGTTGATTGTCGTTCCAATTGTTGTGGTTGATGCCATTGTTACCTTATTGCAGAAAAAATGATATATATTTAACAATTTATATAAGGATATGTGATACTTCCAAAATGTTCGAATAGCTTATGGTCATATTATGGTGGTTGACTCCTGAGGTCGGCGATCCTCGTCAGCGGATCTTCTCGTTTCAGGGATCTGCCTCTGGACAGTCGTTTCCTCAACGACTCAATCCAGGAGGAACTCGGCTTGGGGTCTGCCAGTGTGAGGACCGGCTTATGTCATATTTATACATATATTTCATATATTATATAATTCAATTGTACATATATATATACATATAAAAATACCCATGCATATTATATGCATAAAAAAAGAATAACATTTGTCGTTTTTGGTAGTTTTTCGCACATATGCAACAGTTACAAGATAACGTTGGCGTGGACTGTTGCCAGCATCTCTTTGAGGTTCAAGGCCTTTCAGCAAAAGTTCCATGCAAGAGAGCTGACATTGGAGGCTGGAGATCCAGGGCGGAAACCTTGATAAGAATGGAATAAGTGTTGGAATAAGTGTTGGAGTGGCAAGTGGTTCCTCAACTTTGCAATCGAGCTTTTTTTAGAACCAATCATCCAGTAAAATCCAAGTTTTCGACGTGTCGAATGAATGTGCAGCTGTTCAGGAAAATTTCCGCTCCACTGGGCATATTTGCGGCTGCGCCACTTCGATTTTGGGGCAGGTGTGAGATCCACTTCTCGCCTTGACTTCGAGAGACATACCGTACATAGTCCCTACCTTGCAATTGCCTAGTGTCAACAGGTGTTACTCAAAAGCTCCTTGTATTTGATGTAGAAGCATTTCTCCATTATTGTTCTCAGTTTGCAAAACATTTGACGATTTATCACATGTCATGCTTTTCGTACAAAGTTGCCACTGATTTTTAAAAAGTATTGCAGTTGCCGCTATCTTTTACATACAGAGTTGCTGCCATTCGTTCCCACTGCCAGTATCAGTATTTCACACGGTACCCTCAGCGGCGGACACGCATGGGGTTTGCGTAAGATTCGCACACGTATTTGTCTGGCGACAAATGGCCCTTTCATGCCCTTTCGCGAGAAAGGAGTATTGAACAGGAGCAGCATGCTTACAATATCCACATTACATGTGCCACTAGACAACAGTACAATAAACATTAATCATGAAACCATATGAAACCTTTCAGCATGTGCATGCACAGATGACATATATGACCTATATAGTATATGAGTATCTTGGTGCACATATTCGATCATATTCATGTTTGTCATGGGCATGGGATGCCAAGCATCCCATGGCAGGCGGGTATGGACGACCTGACGCACCCCATGCTTCGATCCCGGCATCCTGCAGGGAATGGGCTGCCTGTGACTGTGGCAGTGTCGCTCGGCTGCGACGTTTTACGATATGTTACTAGACCCAATGGCATAAACCTACCATGACTGGGGATGGTTTTTGTTCTACACATTGAAATATGGTAGACTTGGGGACCATGGGGACCTGGGGATGGTTTCTCAGGTGTCGGGTGTCGCAGATTTCTTGGATTCCTGTGAGGTGTCGCACCGTGAGATGTGAAGAATTTCACGCCAGGCTGGGAATGGTTTGAAAACCACAGACAACGGTGCATGCTGCCACAACAATGATAGAGAAATAATGACAAACCATTGTATATCATTCGTCCAATATAATACCAAAAACCATTGTATATCATTCGTCCAATATGATACCAAAAACCATTGTATATCATTCGTCCAATATAATACCAAAAACCATTGTATATCATTCGTCCAATATGATACCAAAAACCATTGTATATCATTCGTCCAATATGATACCAAAATCATGTGTGCATATATAATTATAATTAGTTAAGTTATATATATATGCACACGGCATATAATACACCCAATATGTCCCAATACAATGGTATATAAACCATTGCGTGTACCCGGGTGCATTTGTTTTTCAGACAAGCCCCCTTTGTGCTTGACCAGATCTTGGGTCTTGCAGCAGAAGCTGAATGGCGGCGAATGGCGTGATCTGGCCATTCTTGCGGTGGACCCAGTTGGGTCTGGCGGTGGTGTAGCCGTGGATGGTGGTGTAATCATGTTACCATGTTTGAAACACTTAAAATGTGTTGCTTGGAATGCTATAAGATACAATATACTACAAGGTGGTGCCTTGACATATAAACCATTTTATATATTGTATATTTAATGTTATAACATGGGTTAAGTATATTTATAAATGAGGCTATCTTGTATAAGTTATGTTGAATTTATATCAATAGATGGGGAGATATAACATTAGATAGCCGTCAAAAAAAGATACAACAAAGTTAGCAAAGATAGCGGTTTTTGGTTGTCTAGAATGATGTTTTTAATGGTAGCCATTTTTTTTGCCCAAGTGAAGCGCTAAATCCTTGAAAGCATGGCAGAACCAGGAACCGCTGTCGCGCAAAGAGCGACATTGCAGGATTTCAAATCTTGTAGTTCTTTTTTATCGCAAGAAGTTTGGAACGCTTTGACAGCTGGAACAGAGTCTCGTGGCCAGAACATATCACTGACGCAGTGTTCCCGGGAGAAAACACTGGCCGGCCTAGTGTGGAGGGATGAGAGAAGCTGCATCTGGAAACGCGTGAGTATATCCAATAGAATAGACCAGAAAACAAAGGAACGCGCATGTGTCGCCTCTTCATTAGCCAATAAAAGCATAGATGCGCGCGTGTGTTTCCCGAATGTACGTTATGTGTTTCCCAACATATAAACCAAACAGAGATTGCAAACGCGAATGTATTAAAAATGTGTTTCCACCTACAATCACATGACGGTGAAATATGTAAATGTTTGGGATGTGTTTCCACAAAAAGAAGAGAACGCACTTGTGTATCCTCATGAAAAGATTAAAAATAGAAGGGAACGCGATGGTGTAACCACGTCTCAGACCAATTGCATTTGTAAACGCGTATGTGTTAAAAATGTGTTTTGTTGTGCTTCCTAAAAACTTGGAAGGTCTCTTTCAAAACCTTCCAATACAAAAAACAAAAAAATATTGTTGAACACACGTGCATGACAAACATGCATGTGCCTGCATGGACCACTGCCAAAGGCAACCAGGTCATGTTTTTACCCTGATTTGTTCGCATTTCGCGATCACAAACCAAAGAACAGACACGCAATGGGAAAACAACGCAACTGGCCAGGCACACATGCAGGATTGAAAACATAGTACAGATTCGACAAAAACAATACACAAGATATAACTTGACTTACAAAACCTATAACATAACTTAACATAAATTCAAGTTAACTTCCTTAAGTCCTTTTATAAAGCCCATAAGTCCAACTTAACTCAAGGCATCACCTTGTAGTATATATATATACAATATGAACTGTATAATATAATATATGTACTGGGTGTATATTTGGAAGCTATATGTATAAGTTGCACACAGACAAAAACACGCAAACACACAAACACAAACATACAAACAGACAAACACACAAACATACAAACACACAAACACACAAACACACAAACACACAAACATACAAACATACAAACATACAAACATACAAACAGACAAACAGACAAACAGACAAACAGACAAACAGACAAACAGACAAACAGACAAACACACACACAAGTGGTGTTTTCTTGAAATGGGGTATCCCCAAGTCAGGTTTCAATACCAAGCCATGGTCTTATGATGTGGATGACAACTGTATCTCAGTACGAAAGCCAGGTCTGGGGAACCGATGGGATTTTGGTAAGGCCCGCACCACCGCCATTGCACAGTCTATGGCCAACTCGCTCCAATCACTTGGAGTTTCTCGGCAAAGATGGCCCTATGATGTGGCTCCCCAGTTGGGTGTGTCTAGGAAAATCGCTTATAAATAGGTATTAAAATGGGCAAAGTGGTCTCAAAATGTGATTATTCTAGAAAATCATGTTTGATTGCCAGAGGGTAACCATTCCAAATTGCATATTTTTTAAAGGTAACCAGTGGAATGGGGTTGATGCCATTTAGAATGGTGATTCACCAGTGGATTTAGGTGTGCCTAATCTTCAGATAAACCATTATGCAAGTCAGTCCTCCAGAAGGGCGCCTCATCTTTGTTCGTTTAATTAACATGTATTATAACTAACATATATTAACACCATTTAGCTGTAAGCTATAGATATGCTATACATATTCACATGTGACGCCAGCATTTTCATCAAACGACTGTTGCCTTTCCGGGATGGGATGATCGCCAGGTGCCGGTGGTACTGGCAGGGGTGGAGCACTACAGTCAGAAAGAGGCACGTCTGGACAAAACATTGGTTGACACCTTGGGTGATGGTCCTATGATGTCCTATGATGTCCTATGAATGTGGGAAACAGATATTTGTTACTTTGTCACTTTGGATTGAGCGAAGCCTGGCAATTCAGTGATTCACTATGATTAAATAGCTGCAAACAGTGGCGGACAGTTAAAGCATTTTCATTTGACAGCACTCGCACCGCGCAATGCATACCGCTTTCAAATGTCCGCATTATGATGGCAATATGACAATACTGGTATAATACATAATATATCATATCACATTGGTTTGTCCAAGAATGATGTCCCCGAATCAATCCAGTGGTATCATAGTACACACACATGTATATATATATATACCCATAGGATCCATGTATGCTATATATGGTAACATTTACCATCAATATACCCCCAATGTTAGCATATATACCATATTATACCATACATGGATCCTATGGGATATACATAAACCCCGATTTTCCTCATCAAAAAACCGTTGGAACATGTTGACTCCAGTGTTTCTGGCAAGGTGCAGGACGTGCTTGCAATTTGCCAGCTGCTCCTGAACCCTGCAGATGTTCCCACCTCAGATCTGGACATGGCTGGGGCATTTGCTATTTTGATGGATGGTATTCCATCTGGTTATTTAACATAGCTATTGAAAATGGTGATTTATAGTGGATTTTCCCATTGAAAATGGTGATTTTCCATAGCTATGTTAGTTTACCAGAGGGTAAACCATCAATCCATCTAGTTAGTTGACGATTTTGCTTCACGAACATTAGATGGCTGTGTTTGAAAATGGGGCCTATGCACCCCCAAATGGTTTTTCATGGAGAAAAGGATGAGAATCCAGTGGATTCAGGAGTAGCCATGAGTAGCCTATTTTTGGGCAAACCCATATCACGAACATGTTCATACTTGGTTCACCTTGGATGATTTTGGTACAACACCATATCCGAGGAGCATTTGCTGAAGCATTGCCTGCGAGCTGCCCGTGTTTCCTACTCAGTTTGGTACGGGATGGTGCAGGACTGTATCTATCCATGTCCAGTCGTCTACAGGATCTGTCCAAGTTTCCAAGAAAATCAGTTCATTTCACAAACCGCTCTAGCTAACAGCGAAATAATAAAATAGCAGTTGGCTCATAAACATCCTGCTTTTAGTTTGTTCAGACTGCTTCCTTGGGTTAAAGTTAGTACAAGTTATGTGTTCATATAAGATATAAACAACATCAGATTTTGTATAAACATAGCTATCATAGGTAAAACAGAGGTAAACAATTAATCATTCACCAAAACTCTGATTCGACCAAGTCACGTCGAAAATACTGAAACCATTTTTTTAACTTACCTATTACCTATTGGTGAAGAAACCATTTGGGGAATTTGGCCTTGCTTCTTTTTAATTGCCCACCTCCAGCAAATCCAAGAAATTGATGTGTTTGTTTCCAACTTTCCAGCGGCTCCACTGCTCCCCGTTCCAACTAAGCAAAGAGGTCGTCAGTGGTGGGGACCTGGTTCTGTTGGAAGCAGCCATGGAGACGGGCGGGGGGACTCAGAGGCATTGGGAATTTTCATTTGGATAGTAAATAAGGGGAAATATGAAGCTACTGACTACTAGTACTATTTAGATTTTAGATAGTAGTAGTGCAGGAAGTCAGTAAGTGCCTGGATATGTAAATATACTGTATCATACTGTAATGGGAAGGATGGATACAACAGGGTGCAGTTAATTGGGCGTATTGACGTTTTGTTCATGGTGACTCCAGGGTTGGGTTTTGAATGGTCTTGCTACTGTACATATGTTTTGCTGATGGTCCGCGCTAATGTTTCTTACTTTGCCCAGCTTTTCTATCCGGTGGTCAGGAGGGTTTCGGAATGTTTCGGAGCTATGGCTAGCCATCATTTTCTAATCGGGAGCTACATGGAGCCAAGGAGCTACTGGTTACGACTTTCCAAACCACGTGGTACGTGGTAGCCCAATGCGAGATGTTGGTTGTTTCTTGCTCAAGCCTTTGTGGATCCACATGGATCCATTTTGCAGCCTTTGACGAAGGCGCCCAGGGGCCCAGGGGAAGGGGCCTTTTTGGTGCTGGTGCAGATGTAGTGGTTGATGCACACATGGGGTTGGTTGGAGGGACAATTTGCCGAAAAACGCGTGTCCGCATGTTCATGTCTATGATTTTTTAGCTTGAAATTAGATGAAATTAGGCAGTTTCCTGTGAATTCTCACTTGAACGAGTTCTGGGATAATTTGCTAGGCTGTTGCCGCTCCCTTTTCGTTGGACTGCCAGGCCAATGGCTGCACTCCATTTATATTTATGGATTCTAGCCGCTTTCTTTCAGTCTCCCGAAGGGAAGCTGAACAGGACGGAGTTCCAGTATGTTCCAATGGGACTGTAGCTGCTGGGGGATCTCTCCCTCTCCATATTTTCATATATTTTCTATAGTTGATGGTTTTGAGCATGTTCACTTTCAACTGGGACGATGATCCCACTATTTGTTGTTTCCCTTCGGGATGGCAACCATCAACCAGTTATTGTAGAGTGACTGTCACAAGGTTGGGCTGTGGTAAAATCCACTGGGAGGATGACTTGGCGCGCGCCTCCTGATGATCCTCACGTACGACGCTTACAGCAGACCCTTGGCCCCAAGAACCACCTGGATGAAAAAATATCTAGTGGCATGGTACGATCTGTTGTTCTTCCATTTTGAACGCCGCCCTGTTGAGATATTCCCTCTTTTTTCAACTTCCACAGGGGAAAAAGACAATAAAAGACATGTTTTCTTTCTCCTTTGCTCGCACTTGTGGGATGTGCGCCATTCAGTACCTTAGGAGTGGCACCCAGACAGATTACCACGTGACCGTGCGAGCCCAGAGCCCAGCAACATCGATACGAGCCCAGCTCGCCGCGCCACGGCGGGGGATTTCAGGTGGTGAAGCAAGATGCTTTTGGGCCCGAGCCTGCGAGGCAGTTCCCATTGAAGCCCTGGTCACAGAAATCTACAACTGGCAGGGGGAAAAAATAACATATTACATGATTATAGAATATTATATAATAAATATTGTATAATAAATATTATATATATGGTGGCAACGGGTGATCTCGAACGCCTGCCGCTTAAGTCTTAAGTAGTTGCCGCTGGGGTCTTATATTTTCTCGCCCCTCAGAAAGACTGAGGCGGACCTAGTCTGAAGTCGATGGAGAGAGAGACATATATATATATTATTATTATTATTATTATTGTTACTATTATTACTATTATTACTATTATTATTGTTATTACGATTATTATTACTATTAACTATTACTATTGTATTTATATTATTATTATTAGTATTATTATTATTAGTTATTATTATCTATATATACATATATATATAGTAAAATATACAGAATATTACAGTATATATATATATTAGAAATAATAATGTAATGTGTTTCTATGATAACACTATAGAATATCCATATTATCCATCGATGATTTTGAAAGACATTGTGCAACTTGAAGTTTTCCATTTTAAGAACCAGATCCAGACGGATCCAATGGGGTAGGCAGTGGAAGCTGTCTCGGCCAGGGTGGATGTTGCCTTTGTGCCGCCTGGCCACGCTGAGAGTGAGCTGATGACGGTGTCCTTCCCTGGCACCAACGGTGCGCCAGGGCCAAGGGCTGCTACCTGGCAATGGGATGGACCATAGACCATAGATGTTCCGTTGCCAATTTAGATATGGGTATGGCTTTTACTGATCAATACTACACATCAATACGCTATCAAGATGGATGGTTTTGATCCCCAACATGGTTTTTGCGAATGACCAATTCAGTGGGCATATTGGTGCCCCAATTTTGACTTATAGTACTGTATATGGTGACACCATGTGGAAAGCACTGGCTCTGTTTGCACGTGAGCAGGTAATGCTGGCACAAAAATGCCCATGGGCCAAGCACTCGGATGGACCAGCTGAAGCTGCAGATTGCTGGCAGCTTCTGCACGATGCAAACATTTGTGATATACTGTCCTTTGATGCTAGCATGGCTGATCATGCACGAGTCATCGCGCAGTTTCTTCTTTTTTTTTGTGTGTGTGTGTTCGACTCCCGCCGCCCTGACTTGGGGCTGCAGCAGTTTTTTGATGCTTGCTGGAGGCGATGCAACCTAATGAAATATAATATAAATATATATATATATATTGATAAGGTTTCGGCTGAGTGAGCCCACGTTCCAACCGTTACCTTAGGGGGGACGTGATCTAACCACCCCCTCGGGCAATTGTGGCATTTCTTTTGCCTTTGTGCTGCTGGTGGCTCTTCTGAACTGGCGTTTGCCCTGGAACTGCATCAGCACTGTGCTCTTCAAGCTTGGCCAGCTTGAATCACCTGTAGTCCCGGCTACATTAAAAACCCGGGTGATTGGCCTTTGGAACTTGCTGCATCATACGGATTGACATTGTTCTCCAGTATACCAACGGCATCTTCCTGGGCCTTTTCCACTACATGCAATTTTACTATTTCTTTGTGTATATCTTGGTGATCTTTGGGGACATCCAGAATTACACAGACACAGAGGCGCAGACAGCGCCGACAACGGGCGAAAGCCCGATTGGATTGGCACCTCCACAAGCGTGGCATTGTGGTGCTTCCAACGCAGAAACTTGTGGTCCTGCGTGCACGCCTTCAAGCTCACCATTCTCGCGATCCGGCTCTGATCAAGCGCATCACGGCAGCTATGACAGACACCAGCCGAACGCCATGGAGATGCTTTTGGTGCAAGCGCCTCAACAAGCAGCAGGCCACATACTGCGGCTCATGCTATTCACCATGGGACAAGTGTGTGGATATCCACTATGTACATGGACAGAAGGCGACGAGCTCGCAACCAAGTGCCTCTGCCAGATCCAATCGAGAAAGCAATGGCAACAACAGGAAGACTGGGAGAATTGGGGCCAATCACCCAGGAGAAGAGGCAATGCCTCTCAATACAGACAAGCAGAATCGCCGAGGAAACGGCCAAAGACTCCGAAGAAGAAGCAGCCCAAAGACAGCTATGGCACGCCGACATTGGATCCACCATGGCAACCAACGACATCTCCAGCATTGCCTGCGGCACCAATGGAGCCTCAGGGTCCCACAGCAGAAAGGACGCTGCTTCAGGAGCTTGTTCATGCCCTAGAACACTCAGACACCACAGTCTCAGACGAAGTTCAGACGGTGATCGACAAGACCAAGAAGGCACCAGAGCCGCCGCCTCCCTCAGCCTCAGCCAAGAGTGTGAGACAGGCGTTCGACAAATTAGAGAAGAAAAGGAAGAGCTTAAATCAAGCTCAGCAAGCCAGAGGAAAGCTTCATCAGTCTTGGTTCAACTATATCGAAGAGTCTGCAAAGAGATGGCGTTCTTTCGCAGAGGATTTTGCCAAGAAGGACCAAGAATTGGAGAAGAAAGTTTCAGAAGCCAAAGAACTTGTACAAGAAGCCAGATCGAAGTACGACGCGGCCAAAGAGGCCAACGACAAACAAGATGCAGACCTCATGGCCGAGGTCGAAGAGATCTCCGATGGGATGGACGAAGACAGTCCAGACAAAATGGCATCGTCAGAAGAGATCCAGGCAGGGATTCAATCCATGCTGACTACGTTGGAGAGCTTCAGACCCAGGCCATCAGAAGAAGCTGCAGAAGCACACCAAGCCAAGAAGCCAAGGCTGGACACTGCACCAGAGGGATCCACAGACGCACGTGGTCCTGGTTCTGCTGCATTGCAGCCTTTTCACAAGCCCGACAAATAGACCAAAGGCAGGAGGTTTGTCCTGGGCATCCACATAGCTTTGTACAAGCAGAATATCTTGAGCACCCATGGACGCACTCCATCCTTGAGGAGAGCAATTTTCTCAATGAATGGAGGGCGAGCATCCATGGTCTTGATTTGGCTTTTGAAGTCTCGCAGATGCGTGGGTTTGGCTTTGCTGAGACTCCTCTTCCAAGTTGTCCTGCGGTCAAGAGTGCAGGAAACCTTTGCGTACGTTTTGATGACACAGTCGAGCTCTATGTGGGCCATGAGCAAGATTGGCATCTACAATTTTGGCAGCACAACATTGAAGTTCCCATTCTACATGCAGATATCTTCCAGCCCCTGACGATTTCCTTCATGGCGACCCCAGGGCATCATCGTCTGCAAGATTTTGGACCTCATGAACATGTACCTCCCAACATCATGCAGAACCCGGACATTGGAATCGATCCTGCAGAAGTGCCAGCAGGTGAAGACAATCTTCCGGCTTTATCTGATGATGAGATGAGTGCAACTGATTCTGAACCTCAATCGGCTGGGCGTCCAGATTGGTTTGCAACGCTGCTTTTTGCCATTGACTTTCAAGCGGTTCCTATGCGGGTTGACTGGAACGACTATGAGTCTATGCACACGGAAGCAGCACATGAGCTTGGGATACGGCATCAGGACCTTTTCTATCTTCATCATGTCAGACACGGACCACAAGATTTAGTTGATGCAGGTGTTGAACCTCTCTTGGGACACAGACATGGAGACATCAGCCCTGGCTCGACATTTCAAATTGTCCTTCTAGATGTTGAATTTCATGCAGCAGCGCCGGAACTCCAACCAGAAGTCGTGCGTCGAGTTGTGAGATTTCCCAGACACATTGGAAGGCTCTCCATCCTACAGCGTCTGGGGTTGGCAGAATTTTGCAGGGAGATGCATCAATCATGCATCTTATGGGTCAATGATGCTATCATGTCCAGATACAGTGCCAGACCAATTGAACTCACCCATGGTGATTATGTATGTGCGTGTTGCAGTTCCACCTGGTCATGACCAAGTTTGCCACATTGGCACACGTTGTGTCGCCAGTGCTTGTCATCAAGGCATTTCGCAGCAGGAACTACATGATAGACATGCCCTTTTTCAGCTTGGTTGGTTCGACACTATCATTGATCACCCTCTTGTGCCATTGCAACCTGATGCGGAGGAGATGGCTCTCCTACAGCATGGATCGACAATCATACCTCCTCTACCACGACCACCATGGACATTGAGTACGATGCCTGAATGTCGAATCAATGTTACTGGCGATAGACCCACAGATCATTCTGAAGAGGACCCCAGTGACATCTATATCACCACGGTGCAGCGCCACACACCAGACCTCCCTGGTGGCTTCGTGCCGCGACCTGGCCTAGATGAACAGCCAGAGTACATATACAACTTGTTTGAGCAGCTTGAAGAGCATGGAGCGGTCGAAGTTGAAGAGGGACAAGTTCTATATGTGAACACATGGATGCTCCATGATCCTGAATTTCCTGTTTGTCATGAATATCGCACAGTACGCTTGACATCAGATTTTCAGAACTGGCAGCAACACTTCCTCCATGCATGGCGTGATCGACTGGAAGAAGGAATCCCAGTGAACTTCTATCTTGTTTTTCCGCAGCCACCAACGACGAGATTGCAGCCTGAAGTCCTTCCACATGTGATACTGGTGCAGAGGTATCCGGAGAATCAGAGGGCTGCAATTATCACTCAGATTGATACAAGAAATCCTAGGGATCACTTCACTCATGTTGCTCTGTTCTTGCCGTCAATTGCTGGCAAATTTGACATTGTTGCGGCAATTGGTCAAACTGACAGATGCTATCCATTTGTTGCAGACTTGCAATGTATGACATGGCATGGTGAACAACAGCTTCAAGAAGGTGGAAGAATCGCCACGCACCATGGCATTTCTTTTATCATTATTCTGCAAGATATTGAAACATCTGGACCGGATGTCTGGAATGCCAGTGAAACTGACACAACAGATTTCATGCAAAGACCAAACACAAGAGGAAGAAGTGAACCAGAAACATCGAGTGAAACTTCGCTCAATCCATCGGCACCAATCTTCCGACCTGGCAGACCAATCATCAATGCGATGAATCAGTTCATTCAAGACTTACATCATCTATGGAATCGACGTGTCATGCCATGTGAGCCAGAAAAGAGGACTCTGCTTGTTGCGGTTTGGTTTGTAGATCACCACAATGGACGCCTGCACTGCCCAGAGTATCGCTCGGTGCAACTTGGTGATGACTACACCCAATGGGAATTGCAACTTGCTCGACCATGGCAAGAACTCCGCATTGACTCATTGGAACTCGAATTCCATTTGGTGCTGCCACATCCAGAGGTCACCAATCCAGAAATTGAAGCACACATCATACTTGTCCAAGCGCCACACCAGCAACTTGTCACAAACTTGCTCACGGTCTTTGAGGAACATGCAGAGCGACAGCAAGTACGCTTGCAAAACGCAGTCACTACGCATGAGCATCTTTGGGTTGAACATCTTGCACAAGGTATTGGTGTATATCAACAATGTTTTCAGGAACCCCGCGCTGCAGAATGTCAAGTCTGGTATGGTGAACATCAATTGTTACCGGGAAGACCATTTGCAGCAAGCTCGGGACAGGCATTTTCATTTCGTATCTTTCATCGAACTGCTCATCCAGAAGGTACGATGTTCCTGCAACTGAATAAACTCATCACCAGCAACCGTGAGCGCCAAACACGTGGGCAGGTGGCTCACACCCACGGGCCACGGGAATATGAAGCTGACGTACAGGCTGATATTGATGCGCCATCAGCTGTGACAATTTTGGATCTGCAACACACAGGCCGCATACCCTCAGTCATTGAAATCACTGGAATCGCAACGACAGCCAGTGTCTCAGCAGAGTTAATGGCATGGGGACACAATGTTGCTGTCATTGACTGCTGGCCGCAACCGGCGTTCGCATGCAACATTGCAGATGCGGGTGACGGACAACTTCATCATTATCTTTTCTGCCGCACGGAAATCCAGGAAGATATTGAAGTTTTTGCACATACACAGACCAATGAAATGACTGACCAAGAGATGCTTGCATTCCTTTGCAGACTTGACTATCCAAGA